AACATTGCACACACTTTGAAGGTCACCACCACTGAGGTGTCTCTTCACTCCATAATCCCTATTACCTTTTTACATTCTTCTATGAATGCCCTTTCCTTTGTCTTGCTTGCCATGAAGGATGCCGGGAAAGTCCACTAATATATAATTCTCTACCTTTCTCTCCTTGGTCTCCCTTTTCTTTTGTCTCTTCTTCCCATAGACTCTTTCCTTACTATCTCTCCCCTGTCAAATCCCTGTTAGCTGCCCGCTGCCTTGGGTCTGTCTCAGTTTTATTCCGGTGCTGTGCTCTGTTAGTACTCAGCAAACAGAAAGGCCTGTGCTCTGAGTAAACAAACAGAAATTTGCAACATTTCTCTTGGAAGCAAACAAACACACAGAGCAGAGAAGAATTCATCCTCAGAGCAGTGGGTGGATGTTAATTTAATTGTAAAGAAGGTTCTCAGTGAAAATATCCATTTCACATTCCCTGAGACTTGTTCTGAGACAAAACACACCTCATTTCGTAAATCTGCACCTTTGTGAAGTTTTCTGTGTATTTCTGGGGAAATAAAATCTGCACACACACACACACACACACACACACACACACACACACAATGTATTTCAAAAATGCAAAAAGCTGCAAATGCATGCAGTTCAAAATGCATACAAACCAAGGCTGTTCAAAGTTCCTCTGATTTGGTTTAGGACTTCATTCAGAGATTCAGATTCAAGCCTGATCTAGTTTTAGACTGATTAAGACCTGATCCAATCGGATTCCAATCAAAATCAAAATTCAGAATCTTTATTTCCAATGGATCATCATCATCATCATCATCATCATCATCATCATCATCCATCAAGTTAGCTTTGACTTATGGTGACCCTTTTCAGGGTTTTCCAGGTAGAAAGTATTCTGAAATGGTTTACCATCCCTTCTTCTGAGTGCATCCTAGAACTGTGCAGCTTGCCCAAGGCCACAAAGGCTGGCTCTTCTGGGATGCACAACAAGGAACTGAACTCCCAGCTTCTGGTTCTGCAGCCAGATACCTAATTCACTGAACCAGCCAGCCAGCTATTGATTTGCATTAGGAAATTTAAACTTCTGTATTTTTTCCTATTAATCCTAACAAACTCTAGGCAAAAACGTTACTTGCTATACCCTTTTAAATATTTCCTTTGAAACAGCCATAATTTATTTTTTTCATAAAGTAACATGAAATTTGGGGAAACAGGTCTTTCTGACTCGACGATTCCTGAGTAGTTTCACATAGGTCAGTGGAAAGGTTTTGTGCCAAACAAACTAACATGCTTAAGGTTTAACTGAATAGATTCAAGCTAAGCTTAAATGAACAAAAGGTCTGGTAATGAGCAGACAAAACCACAGACTAATTAAGACAATCAACCACCACTGAAATGATCAGTGCACTTTTTAAAAGTGATCTGTGGCTAACATCTCAAGAAAAGGAAAAGAATAAAGAGCTGCATGATATAACTCAATAGATCCAGATCAAGTTGGTTTAACTTGAGATTTGTTATCCAGGGAAATCAGTTGCATAGGCCAGTACAACACATTTTAGTCAGTGAGAGAAATGTATGCAAACATTCTCTCTCTCCCTCTGTCTCTCTCTCTCTCACACACATACACACACCCTTTTAGGTACAGGAAAATATGCACATATTCGTCTGAGAGAAGGAGAAAAACCAAAGACTGAAAACAAGTAAGTTGCAACTAGAGCAGGCCCATTGAATCAGTGGAGATATGGTGAGTCAACTTCTTTGTAAGTTCCCCTGATTCATGGAGCTCCCACTAGCTGCAACTTACTACTGGATTTTAGTCAATGTCTGAAAAATAGACACAAACCAAGGGTAGCACAAGAAGAGAAATCGGATTTGGGGAAATGCAGTGATCCTAAGAATCAGACTCAGAGCTAGTATATCTGGGTGTTCATCAACATTTATTTTATTTACTTTCTGTTTTTAGTAAATTTTAAGTTCTTCAAATTTACTTTAAAAAAGTTGCCATGACAAATAGCTGTAAACCTTTATCTTCATAAAGACAGAACTGAAAGCAATAGTGTCTTACTTTCTTTTCTTCTAACAAGGACTTATTTAGTTGCCTGATGATGATCTTTCTTTACTGGCCCTTTACTAGCCAGCCTTTTACCAAAGAAACAAAGCTGACATCTGGTCCTTAATACAGTGACACAATAAGATCAGACAATTTTATAATCTGTTTTAAGAAGCTCGAGGTAATCCATACCAAACAAAAAAAAATTTTTTTTTAACTAACAGTATCTTCTATGGTTATAGAAACAGTACTAAATTTTTCCTAAAGTGACATTTCAAGATGAATCTGGTAATTCCTGATGGTGGCAGCAGTGATAAACATTTTTTTTAAAATGACAATTGTTAGTGAAAAATAACACACTCCCAAAACAGTTTATCTCACAGACTGACAACCAAAACAACATGCACAAAAGAAAAAGATTAAGAGAGAGAAGGAATAATTGAAACCCAGTCATTAGTTCTTAGTTACTCATTTTATAATACAGTGGTACCTCACAAGACGAATGCCTCGGGCAACGAAAAACTCGCAAGACAAAAACATCTTGCGAGTTTTTTGGTGCCCCGCAAGACGAAGATATTTTCGTCTTGCAAGGTATGTTTTCCCATAGGAATGCATTTGAAATTTAATTAATGTGTTCCTATGGGAATTTTTTTTTAAAAAGTCACTTACCAGGTATGGAGCTGGGGAAGCACCATCGGAGGACTGGCGGGGGTCCCCTGCAAGCATGATCACCACTTTCATGGGTCCCCCAGCAGTCCTCTGATGGTGCTGGGCAAGCCTTCCCCAGAACCATTTTTGAACTTCCTGCCCTTTTCCTCTGCCTTTTTTCTTTTGGAGGCTTGCCGAGCACCATCAGAGGCAAGCCTCTGAAAGGAGAAAGGCAGGGGAAAGGGGCAGGAAGTTCAAAAATAGTGCTGGGGAAGTCTTGCCCAGCACCATTGAAGGACTGTCAGGGGACCTCTGAAAGTGGTGATCAGGGTTGCAGGGGACCCCTGCCAGTCCTCCAATGGTGCTTCCCCAGCTCCCTACCTGGTAAGTGACTTTTTTTTTTTAAAAAAAAATTCCCATAGGAACGCATTAATTAAATTTCAGTGCATTCTTATTGGAAAACTCACCTCGCAAGATGTAAATTTCACAAGATGGCAGGTCTTACAGAATGAATTATTTTCGTCTTGCGAGGCACCACTGTACTACAATCGAATAATCATCTACTTAATACAGTGGTGCCTTGACTTACGAACACCCTGACCTACAAGCAATTTGACTTATGAACAGCTCTGGAGGCTAAATATTGCTTTGAGTTATGAACAGAGCTTTGACTTACAAATGAAAAAAAAAACTTTCCTTTTTTTGACCTAAGTTCATCTTAGGTCAAAAGAAGAAAAAAGAAAGAAAATTCTCCCCCTAATGGTAGAGTACGGATTAACCGGCTTTGCATTAGTTCCTATGGAAACTAATGCTTTGACATACAAACCGTGCCTTGACATAAGGACAAAAAACAGCCGGAATGGATTAATCGGTTTTCAATGCATTCCTATGGGAAATGGTGCTTTGACTTACGAACGTTTTGACTTACGGCCACCGTTCCAATACGGATTAAGTTCGTAAGTCAAAGCACCACTGTAGTAGGTCCCATCAAACAGAGTGAGATTTACACACAGGTATATGTATATATGACTGTTGCATCTTTGTTCTTTCTGACAGGAAGGAAATAAAACCTATGGCAGGGGGAGATGCTCCAGTTAATGATCTGCCTATGAACATAACCATAACAAAATGTCAGAACAAATCTGGAGGTTCCGAGTTACAAGAAACCTATGAGGAATTTTGACAAAAGCCAAAAGATTTACTAAATTTTTTTGTCAAATTTTACTAAATATTTTGGGTGGGAGACACATTAATCCACACATCCCTCACCCAACATTTGGGATACAGGCATCTTTGCTTGGACACATGTCCTGTTGAAAATTAACAAGAAGGCAAGACTCTTTCAAAATTAAATCAGAATAGAGCAGTTATTCTTCAAGGTGCAGTAACATTTTTGTCCTCTTTATGGTTGAATTTTTGTTTTGTGTTTGCCTGACATAGTAGCACAAACTAACAAGGCTACCTGTTCTAAATCCTCTGACTTACAATAACCCTTTCCAAGGTTTTCTATGCAAACAGTACTCAGAAGTGTTTCATCCTTCTCTTCCCTTCTTCTAGGGGTGCTCTGGGACCAGGCAGCTTGACCAAGGCTACTCAGGCTGGCTCTTTGCCTGGGAAGCACAGCAGAGAATCAAGACTCTCGGATACCTGACTCCTGCCAGTACAGAAACAACCTGCCAGAAATCTGTCTTCTCAAAATCAGCTGAAATAAATGCTCCCAATTAATATTCAATTGTGCTATGAAAGGCCTGCTTCCTGGTGGAACAGTTCCGTAGAAATTTCAGGCTTTCCATCAGCAGCTGTTGCGCTAAACATTTTGCGAGTGATTTTTGTTCAATGAACATTCATTTTAACCATCAGAATTTGTACGTCCTTCCCACTCACGTAGACTGTACCACCCATTAAAGGCTTTGACTTAACAAAGCAGCAGATTTGGAAATGTTATATAAGCAGCCACTGTTTGCATGTGGTGATGCTTGTAATTATTCAGACACAAAGAATGTAATATGCAATGAAAACCTAACACTGGTTTTGAGTATTTGTATTGTACAGCATTGTGTATTCTTAAATCTACTTTCTGGTGCGGAATCTAAAATAGGGCAGTATAAAAAGGACAGAAACAGTTGAAATGCAGATTCAGTCTAAGAATTTATTGGTTCAAGAGGATAATAAATTGGGAAGTACTAAAGGAAATGAGCAAAGACCAAGAAATCATGGAAACGCATAAAATACAGAAAGATAGAATGCTTTTCTCATGGAAAGCTGACACAATTGCTTAGGGAATGTAATAATATATATTTACCCAGTAACAACAACTTGACTGTCCTGGCGTCTCTCACTGCATCTTCTTGGAGTCTTTTCTCAAGTTCCCGTGACCTTTTGGCAGATTCTTTTGATTCAGAGCTGACTCCGTTGCCCATATTGTGGATTAGATGGTATTAAATTTGAATTATTGTCTAGCTACAAAATGCCTGCTGCTGAAATGGAAAGTACAGCAGGAAGACTACAGTGAGGTATAGCACGTTCTCTTCCACCTTCTTTCTGTCTGCAGGCTATCTTCACACTAAGTAGTGGCTTTTCATCAGCCCCAGAGAATAGGATGCAAATGGATTTTGTGGATATCTATTCAGTCAGCTTATTATGATGTCAGACATGTAAATGTATCCATGTTGCTGTTTAACCATCGGAAAGTCATGTCTAAAAACAGAGCAAAAGAGCAACCAGGAGTGTTTTATAGTCCAGAGAAGGTTCTTTGAAAGAAAAATATGATCATATCATCAGTTTTTTTTTCAATTTTTCAGTTTTTTAAATATTGTACATTATAACATTGAATATGACAGTAAATAAAATGGGAGATAGTTTTTTTAACACACAAAAGCAGGTTTAACAGATTGTTAAACTGAGTTCAGTTTCAGGTTTTCTATGTGTTCCCAATAAGTTTTTTTACTATCTTGTTCTAGTGTATTTCCATCATTCTTCATATTGTCTTTGTAATCTATGTGTCTTTTCCCATAATGTAAAGAGATACCATGTTTACATGAAGTTCCTTATGCCATTTTTCTTTTCTGGGGTAATTTCTTTCAAGCCATTGTCTCCTGTTATCGCTTTTATCTCTGTGTGTTGAAATCTTTTTCAGTGTTTTCCAATTCCATACCATACTCGTTTTGTCTACAGCTGGCATAAATGAGATTAAATATTTATGCAATGCATTTTCATTTATTCCAATGAGAAAATAGAATAATACTAGGTCAGCATCATATTCACTTTTTTGTCTCATCATACTGTATGTTGCATCAAATCAAGTATATTTTTCCAGTATGTTTTTCACTTTCGGGTATTCTTTATATAATGAAGGGATGCCCTATCAAAAATAACCCTTTGTGATGTGAATTGAACATAAGAAGAGAATGTTAGGATCAGATGAATGGAAAACTCACTGACATTGCTTGTTGAAATCAAGCCTGTATATTTCTAATTTCATTTGCTTCAACCCCCTACTGATCTTTGTCCCTTTTTGTCATTCTCCTAGTTACATTTTTATCTAACACATAGTTGTTCTTTGTGCTTCCATTCTATAATAATCTTAATATGATTTTTGAGGTCTGTGAAATGTTCTGGGATGGTTTACCATTGCCATCCTCAGTGAGCGTCCATGTACAAAGAGTTGTACAGTGAGAGCTAGCCTGTTACTCTGCTACTACAGCTTACTGATTCTCAGCACAGAAGTAATCTTCTGAAACCATCTGGGTTATACAAAGCTGAGACAGAATAGCTGACTAGGTGTTATCCAATGCAGTCTGACTGAACTGGAATAAGAACCAGGGCCTTCTGAGTCTGGTATCTTAGGTGCTATATAGTAATGATTGTTTATTGTAAACTGTCTGGGAAAGGATGTCTGCTTTGGTGCATTTACTGTTACATAATTTCATTATTGATCATCATCATTGTTGTTGTTATTGTTGTTGCATTCCCCTTTCTTTTTCCTAAGTCAAGTCAAAGGGACTTAATGATGCTGATGAATGGTTGGTTGTGCTTTTGTTAGATTGCAGCTATTGTCATTTAAAAAGGTGATGAGATGGACATTTGTCCCACAGTTTGGTCTACTGCAAGGATAAGTTGGTTTGTTCTTCCTGTGACCACATGACATAAGTGCTGGAATGACCAAATGGTCCCCAGAACACCCCTTTCCACTCCTTTCTGATCCCCTGGCAGGGGCTTCTTTTTTTTTTTTTTTTTTTTGGTGTGGGAAGGATTGCTCTGTTTGGATCTGTTTCCAGCACATGTGATCACTGGGAACAGACCAAAACTGAACCTTATGACTGTCAAGACTCTGTTTTGAATATCAGATATTGTGAACTGACTTAATAAGTGAACTACTTCAGGTTATTGGTAAATTGAATACTTCCTCTGCTCTAGCAGAGGGGCAGACTCTAGTATATCATTGTTGATGCACTGCATCACTAATAAAGTAAGAAAAACATATTCTCTTTCCCTTGTCTGAATTGCCAGCTGAGAAACCACCTGCAACCAAATCTGTCAGTGCCTCCCTATGGATTCAGCTGCAGGCAGTTTCTTGACCAGTCCTTTAAGATTTAGTACAGATTTTGTTTTCATCAGTTAACTACTGTACGTCTCACCCAAACACAAAGTAATTATCAGGGCTGTTTTTCAACAAGTGAGAATGGTGGCGAACACAAGAAGATATCCTGTGAACCCTCTTGACTGTTGCCATTGGTGTTGTCAACCTTCAGGCTGCCCTTTGCTATGTAAAGCTGGGCATCCTTTTCTTGCTGGCAGTGTGGATACAATATTTTACAGCAATATTGGGCTATTTCCTGGCATTTTGAATGAAAGACACCAAAGCGCAATAGCCCACATTCATAAACAGGAGTGGGTATTTTTAAAAGAATTGAATACAATTGACATCACAATGCAAAAAAAACGCACAAACATGTAGGTGTCCCCACAATACAGTTTTTATCATGGGCTGAAACTCCTGGTCATTAGGGTTTCTGTTATCTTTTAAGGTTTTCATTATAAACACTTAATTTTCTTGGGACTGGTTGGTTGATGGACTTATATAATCTAATCATGTTACCATCGCAAACTTAATGAGCATGCACTGGATTGCAGGTTATGAAAACTTTGTTCCAATATGAAATGTATCAATTATTTCCACTGAAAGTAGCACATACCTGTGAGATAATTTGGGTTTGATTTGCTCTAGCACTCACTTGCTCATTTTCCTGGCATTTCAGGGTATATGCAAAGCTCTCTTCCAGCACGAAGTTCCAAAGGAATCTCGTTTGTTTTCCTTTCAGCTTTCTTCACTGTCCAGATTTCACAACCATACATAGTAACTGGGAATAAAATTATATGAATGATCTTGTCTAATTCCTTCATGGCTACCCTTTCGAATCTCAATCTTCTTCAGATTTCTTTGCTGCAGTGTCCCTTTGGATGGATGTTTTAACTAATGTATAAAAAATCTTTCACCATTTCAGTTTCTTCACTGAGAACATTAAAGTTGTATAGTCATGAATTTTGTCTTCTTAATGTTCAGCTGCAGTCCTGCTTTGGCACCTTCTTCTTTCACTTTCACTAAAAGTAGTTTCAAGTCATTGCTGCTTTCTACAAGTAAGATGGTGCTATCTGGATACCTTAAATTATAGATATTTCTTCCACCAATTTTCATACCTCCTTCAACTGAACCTTTCCATATGTTGAATTCCACATATGGATATTGGTGGCAGATTTGGTTTCAGGCAGTTTCTTAAGGGGCCCTTTAAGAAAATGCAAAAAAGAGTTTTGTTTCATTTTGTGCTTTGTGGTGATGTGGCACATATACCTGGATGAGTGTCCCTATGTGTTTTAACAGTACCATTTGAATTGTTATGGCTGGCTACACCATGGTACTGACTTATTGTATCTCTTGTTTTATGGGGCATTAAACTCCTGAATTTTGTTTGTTATTTGTTTTAAATGATACATCAATATGTCAGGTTTTGTGTGCGAGTGAATACACACCCACAAACACAGTACATGCTGTATACTGAGAGTATGTATGTATGTATGTATGTATGTATGTATGTATGTATGTATGTATGTATGTATGTATGTATGTATGTATGTATGTATGTATGTATGTATGTATGTATGTATGTATCTGACTGACTGACTGACTGACTGACTGACTGGGCAGCTATAAGGCTGTAAGGGTAGCTGCCTTCTCTGGTGAATTGGCTCACCCACAGGATCATTTGGTGAGAGACAATGACTGCTCTTGCATGCTTGTTGCTCTCCCTGTGGGATTCTGACCTATGCGTCTCCTAACTTCTTGTAGGATTGGGGCCTCCTTGTAATTGGCTGCCTCCACCTTCCACTCTCATTGACATCTAACACATTAACAATGGTTTTTGTTTTTGTTTTGTTTTTGCCATTTGGGGGAGACACAAAGGCAAGGGACAACCTTTGTGTAGAAAAGGACTCATTTTTTATTTCCCTGCCTGCTGTTGTTTGTGAATTAATAAGACTTGCTGTCTGTTGCCTGAGGAATGTGTTGTTCAAATAGTGAGGGTGGGGATGGGGAGCAGGGAGCTGCTGTTGGTACTATGCTAGGTAGAGGGAGATATATAGAGAGAGGAGACAATTGTATTATTATAAGGGAGGGAGGAGGAATAGGATCCTGGTTACCCTCAAATTGTCTCTCAATTCAGACAGCCTGCATAGCCTTGGCAATAGTCCCTGTTAGAGATGGGCATGAACTGGAAAAATGCTGATTTGTTTTGATTTGTGTTTCATTAAGGTTGATGAATTAGGAGTGATGAATTTATTATTTTTTTCTGATGAATCATAGGAGTGATGAGTTTATTATTTTTTTTCTGACGAATCAATCAACAAATCAATTTGTCAATTCATTTTTGTTTTTAAAACCTTATAAAATGGTTCCCCCAAGCACCTAGAGACTACAAAATCACAGAGTAGTTTTCCCTGACTCTCCTCTACAAACCCCCCAGGTTTGGTGAAGATTGGCTGAGAGATTCAAGGAGCTGTTGCCTAAAGAAATATTTTTCCCCAAGCTCTGCTCATGCTATTGGGCTGGCTGAGGAGCATCTAGCAGAACATATCAGGAAAGGGAAGCACGTCACACTGGTACAATCTTGGAAATAACAACTCCATCCCCAGGCAGCATTACCTTAAAATAACGAGCTAGATGAAATGAAAGGCGGTATTTTTGCTTCACATCCAAATAGCTGAGATAGAATTTTGAGAAGCCCCGTAGCCCAGTTGATGGACTGGTTTCATTCTCTAGACACTCCACTTGAAAAAAGCACAGCAAGAAGCAGAGTTGGGAAGGAACTTGGCTGGGACCTGCTGAGTAGACTTTAAAGGGATGGTAGGCCAGTTCAACATGCTGACTCTGAGTATAGAATTTTCATATTTTCATGCATGACCATGATTTGGGAAAAAATAAAGAGAAAAAGGGGCAATGAGAGCAAAAACAGTAGTCAACATGTCTGTCCACAACAACCATAACATTTAATCAAATCTTTATTGGCAGATTTCTGCTGTAGAAAGCTGTTGAATTATGCTTTTTTTTCCTGGTGCTGTACACTAGATGGTGCTAAGAACACCTGTGGATGGAAATGGACAGAAGTCACGAAAGAGGGTGCAATTTTCCATGAACTC